TTTATTATATGTAAGACATAGTTATATATATATATATATATATATATATATATATATATATAAAATATTATATATAATATATATTATTTGTATAAAATAATTATTTTTTATAGTGTTTTTGGGCACTTGGAGCTTGTTTTGAAGTGGCAATAGCTTTGGCTATAATGCCAACTTTTGGTTGGAGATGGCTTCTTATTTTATCAACAATACCACTTTTTATATTTGCTATTATCACTCCAGTTGGTATTAAAAATCAAGCAATATAATTACAATAGATATTAAATGTATAAATTTTTATAATATTCTTTGTAGTGGTTACCAGAATCTACAATATTTGATATAACAAATGGAAGAATGGATAAGGCTGTTTCAACTTTAGAACGAGTAGCAAGAGAAAATAAAAAACCTTTACCTCCAGGCAGATTAGTTATGGATCGCTTCTATCAAGTTAATCATGGCAAATTAAAAGATGTATTAAGTAAAGAAATGTGTAGAACATCTACTTTGCTTTGGCTTGTATGGTAAATATTGCATAGTTATATGTTACAATATAATATATGTTAATATATAACATTATATTAATTATATAAATAATATTAATGATTTTAGGATGAGTACAGCATTTTGTTATTATGGTGTTGTACTAATGACTACAGAATTATTTCATACATCATCTGAACAATGTAGTTCATGGGAAAATGAAAAAGATGTTTGTCAATTAGATTGTCGTTTAGAACGTAGCGATTATATTGATCTTCTTTGGACAACATTAGCTGAATTTCCAGGAATTTTTTCTACTATTTTTGCAATTGAAAAAATTGGTAGAAGAAAAACAATGGCTTTTCAACTAATAATGTTTGCCATGCTTATTGTTTTCTAGGCAGAGCATGCCTATTAAACAGAGTAGCATTAACATTGACAATTTTTTTAGCTAGAGGTTTAATTGCAGGCGTATTTCAAGCAGCATATGTGTATACTCCAGAAGTATATCCAACTCATTTACGTAGTATTGGCGTTAGTACATGTAGCGCAATGGCTAGAATTGGTGCAATGGTTACACCATACATTGCACAAGTATTTCTTCAATGGTCTATTACTGGAGCAATGGCAATTTATGCTACAACAGCATTATGTGCTGCAATAGCTACACTTGCTTTACCTGTTGAAGCGAGAAATCATACATCTAATGAATCTCAAGAAACGAGATAAAATTTTGATGAATATTCCAGTTTTTTTCTCTTTTTAATATTGAAATATTTTAAAAAACAAAATATATTTTTATTGACACTCTATTGTTCTATCAATTAATAATTGTTAAATTAACAATTTCTTTAATGATAAAAGAAAACTTATTCTTATTTATTAATATTCATTTATTTTGTTTTTATAATTTTATAGTTACATATATGTGCATAATTAATATCATTTTTTATATCCGATTAATTTTATCTTATTTAAATGAATAGGATTATACTATATATATTATATCGTAAGTTAATATATATTTATCTTTTTCTAATATTTTAAAAAGCAATAGTAAGTTTAAAATATATAAGAATTGTACAAAGACTGATATAAAATATTAAATATTAATATACAATAGAAGTGCCAAAATGCACAAATGTGCAAGATTATTGTATACATAAATTATGATAAATTATGATTTTTGTTATGTTTTAAAATATAAACAAAATATGTAAAATTGCAATTCAAATCACTTGATTTATATATATATATATATATATATATACATATATATATATATATT